TGTCACTTCTGGGTTTTCCTCTCCAGTGATGTAATGCTGTTGCTCTGACGGTGCCCCCCCCCCCGACTCCTACCGGTTGTCAGCCACTTGCTGGCAATCCTAGTGGAGATCGGTGCAGGGTAGGGTTACCAGCTCTGAGTTTGGAAATACCTGGAGGTTTTGGGGGTGGAGCCTGAGGAAGGCGGGGTTTTGGGAGGGGAGGGACTTCAATGGGGGTAGAATGCCACAGAGTCCAAAGTGGGCATTTTCTCCAGGTGAGGTGATCTCTGGCCTGGAGATGTGTTGTAATGGTGGCGGGAGATATCCAGCTACCACCTGGAGGTTGGCAACCCTAGAGCCGGGCTTAGTGAGGGAACTTAAAGGGGGAGCAAGTGGGAAGTCTATGAGTAGCCTAAAACCCTCAGAGTATTTGGGGAGTGGTGATAGGTGGATTAGTGTTGGGAGTGACACTCTAGGATTTGCAAAAAACTCTACAGTTAGAGTTCTTGGCAAGCCCTCGAAAGCACTACCCAGCGTAATGATATCACTTCCAATGTCGACTCCCCCCAAGTCGCCACCATTTCCCTCCCACTTTCCTGGATGACGCCAGCAGGCAACAGCAGGGATTGGCAGCCCTTCCTATAAGTGTGCCACATTCAACCTGCTCTGTTGGGCATGCACTGAAGAGCCATCTTTTGAGGAGTGGGCATCCCCTCCCACATCAGCTGCTGTTCCCAGAAAGTAAGGAGTAGAGGATGCCCTTGATAATCAGAGTACTGAAAGCTTTAAAGGCATAATTTAAGAAATTACCTTGCCAATGATGCTTCCGACTTCCTGTTTTAAAAGAAAAATGGAGATGAGATAAGCAAATTTAAGAACATTCCTTACCAAAAGATATTGATCACATGGCTCAAGACCAGTGTTCCCTCTAGGGTTGCCAAGTCCATCTTCCACCCCCAGCGGGGGACTTTGGGGGCGTTCCTGGAGGGGGCGGGGCATCCCCGACGTGATGACGTCATGTTCGGGATGTCCG